GTATGAATAAAGACAAGGATGGAAAGGACAGTGTGCTTTGAGGGTAGGATATACTTTTTTGTTTGTACTTACGCTTTCTTATTGCTAAAATACTGTGAAGTGTTTGGCTAGAGGGACTGTAAGTAATAGTTCTTTCTTTCAAAAATTTCCTTAATGCTTTAACTTTTTGTCTTTTTTGTAATGAAACGTCTAAAAAAGAAAAATACCACCACCACCACCAGTCAGTGGCTTGGGCTTGGCTTCGGAGAGCGGGGAGGAGATGGGAACAGGAACGATGTGGGTGAGAACTACACCGTCACCCACTACGAGAAGGAGCTTCAGGGGCTAGGAAGGGACGCCTCTCCTATGCAACTTTCAACACAAGGAATAGAGGCTTTCTTCCCGGTTATTCAGTCCCAAGAGGTCAGTGTTCAAGGCAGAAAAGCCGCTCAAAAGTAAAGAGCGTGCTTCTGGAGACAGCATCCCTTGTTCAGCATTTCTCCAGCACCATGCCCAAGACAGCACCGAAGAGTATGCAGGAAGTTGAGGATTCCAGACATTCCACCCAGTTCCTCCCCAAGAGAACCACACTTTCTATTCTGGCTCCACCACCTAAGCCGTTTTCTTCTCGGACCGCCTCGCCCCCAGTGCTGAGCAAGCACATGGTACGTGTGGAGGGTTTGAATGGGTGAGGGATGAGGGATAAAGGGAGACGAGTGGGGGAAAAGGCACAAAGAAGACACTTAGCCATAATTCCTGAGTCCCTTCCAGGGAGGTAAAGAGGGGCTGCACCAGTTTTTGGATAAAATCCTCAACCATTTATCTAGCACACCTCGTGTGGAAGCACCTGGCTCATGTTATCTCATTTAATCCTTACAACCAAGTTGTGAGTTTATCCTCATTTGACAATTTCCTGAAACTTAGGAAGAGTCAGTAACTTCAAGGGTGGCCCAGGTAGCACACAGGGAGCTAGGACGGGAACCCAGAAGCAAAGCCCAGGTGGACTCAGGGTCCAGTCAATCCAAAGCCAGGCAAAGGGGAAGCAGCCTGCAGGGGAGTCCTGTGCTAGATCAGGGGAGCGCAATGAGCCACGAGCAAGGGGACCAGAAGAAACCCTCCAGGGAGGGCTCTGCCCACAGCCACCTCAGTTCCCTGTGAGCCCTTCCCCAGAGCCTCCCTCAGCCTCTGAGAAGGGCTGCAGACGCAGCCCAACAAAGCAGTGAGGAAGCAGCGAATCCACAGGCAGTAGGAGGAGCAGCTTACACCACTGTCCGGATGCCGGTGGCTGTGAATGTCAGGCCGGTCAGCTGGACAATAGGATCCACCAGGCTCTGAGGGTGCGGGCTGGTCTGAAATTTGCTGAAGCTGAAGTGGGTCATCAGGAGGTTTGAGTACTGCATCAGCGAGAACTGTGGAGTTCACGAACAGGGCCCTGGGGCTTAGGAGCTGCTTTTTAATGAACTTTTTATTTGGGAATAATTTTTGACTTACAAACCATGTTTTTGAGGCCTGACAAATGTAGAGTGACACCTAGAAAAGAAATAATAAATGGCCCAAAAAGAAAACAGGAAAGTCAAAATCAAATAATTCTTCTTTCATAGTTTACAAAGAATAACCTTGCTGACCACAATATTTGTCAAACTTAGATTTAAAAAAATTTTTATGGAGGGAGGATATAGCTCAGTGGTAGAGCATGTGCTTAGCATGCACAAGGTCCTGGGTCCAATCCCCAGTGCTTCCATTAAAAAGAGATAGATAGATAGATAGAAAGATAGATAGAAAGGTAGATAGATAGATAGATAGACAGACACATAGATAGATAGATAGAGATACATAGATAACTGTAAACCTAATTATCTCCACCCCAAAATAAAGTCAACAGTGTCACATAAAGTTTTTAAACAAAAAATTTAAAAATTAAAAACACTTATAATACATGAAATCAATTTGTAGGCTATACTTCCTTGCTTCTCAAGAATTTGTACATCAACACTAATAAGTGGGAAATAATGAGATAAACCATGAGTTACATGGAAAATATAACAAAGAAAGCATCAATTATTTGGCTGAGTTACCTTTGGTCAGATTTCCCAGCAAAATTATTTGACAATCCTTTCAATGTATCTAAACAGCAAAAACACTGTTATTTCCTGTGTGGACATAAGAAATACAGTGGGGGAAACTCCTTGGGTCATGACTCAAATCGGCTAGCACTGGGACTACACCTTGACCTTGGACCCTAGCCTTCTCACAGCACAGGTCCACTGAGCCAGCCTAGTGATGCCAGGCTCCCTCCCAGGGTGACCTTCCCAGAGGCAGACCCTCCCCCATTGCACTGCCCAGGCCTCAGGAGCCCAGTTTTCACCAGTGTGTTGGTGCCCTTGAACTCGCCCATCACAGCTCTGACGAAGTTCTTCATCTGTTTAAAGTCAGTTGGGTCAATGCTGGCAGAACCATCAATCAGGAAGACAATGTTCATCTCTTGATTTGGACTCTCTGCGAGAGAGAGGGAGGAACCAGAGATATGTGTGTGGGTCCCAGCTACCTCCTGCTCCACAGAGTCAGGGGGGCATTCTTGGCATAGGCATCAATCCCCACTCAGTTTCTGACACCCCTCATGGGGAGGCCCAAATCTGTTGCCCCAGTCCCTTCTCCCTTCAGCGGAGTCCCTTTTGCTCCCTCCTCCCACCAGGCCTGGAAAAGGGGGAGAAATAGAGGATAGGGGCCAAGTGGGCTCTTCATTCATCTTGTTAACAGATATTTATCGAGTACACACTGCAGGGATACTGTAGAGCACAGGGGAAGGCAATTTAGCCAAGTGGTTCTGAGTCTATGTTCTGGAGCCAGCATGCCTGGGCTCAAATCCCAGCTCTGCCACCTGTTAGTGGTGAATCAGGCAAGTTACATAACTTCAGTGGGCTTCGGTTCTCCCTGCCTGTAAAATGGGTAATAACAGTGCCTACCACATGGAATCACTGCAAGGATTAAAAACATCAATATGTACATAAAGTAAAGACAGGGCCTGGCACACCATAAGGGGAAGCTATTATCACCACCATCACCACGGGCCTGGCATTGTTCTAGGCCCAAAGACGCACCTGCTGGGATGCTAAAGTGTGCCGCCAAGACCTGCCCCCATCAGGATGGAGGTGCTCATTCCCGGCTGCAGGGGGTTGGCTGTCGATGGTTCCCAGTGGAGTCCCTCCCTAGGCATCACCTCATTCAAAAGACAGGTGCCTTGCTCAAGGTTACACCTCTGGCTCCTGGGGGCAACATGTATCCAGCCATGCTCCAAGTCCCCGTGGGTCGGCTGAGGCCTCTTAACAGTCCACCCCCTCCAGCTGCCCAGTCCTGCCTCCCTCACACTCTAGTAGGGGTTGCTCCTGAGAACATTCCCAAGAGAGCCTCAGAGTCTGTTTCCAGAGAAATCTGATCTAAGAACATAGCTTTAAAAAAGATCTCATCCCTGCCCTTGTGGGGCCCACACCATAACAGAAAGACACATCACACGCACATGAACAAGTAAGACATCACAGGTTGTTCCCAGACTTACGTGGAGGGATGTGGCCTGTGTGCAAAACCCAGTCTGTGCCTCCACCAGCACTCCACATCCTGTGTTGGTCCCAGGGTGCTGGGAGATCAGGCCACCACAGCCCTGAGGTGCACCCACACAGCAAGCCAAGAAGCCCTCAGGTGCTCCCCCTGCTTACCCGTTATCCATCCCCCACAGCTGGGTAGCTGGTGTTCCCTGTCACCACATCTTGTACTTGTGTCCACATTTTTAGTTGTATCACAAAACCACCCCACATCCTCTCTCAGGCTAGGTTTGTGGCCAGTGCCCTCACAGCATCACTTCTGTTTCTTGTTCCTTTTACTGTATCCACTGGGCTTCCCACCGCAGGCACCCGGCTGCAGCTAAACCACTTCTGAAAAAGGACCAAGCCAATCAAATAAGGTTGGCTCAAGCTCTGGACTCTGCTACTTTCTAAAGTAGGAACTTACCTCTCTGAGCCTCAGTTTTCTCATCTGTAAAGTGAGGATCATCCTGGCCTCCACAAGGATCTTGTGAGGATGCCATAAGGTGATGCACACCCGGCATGCAGTACCCAGCACTGCCTGGCACACGGTCCTTCCACTTCTACTCAGACCTGCCTCACCTGCATCAGGCTTATGTACCC